ATCTCACTGGATTTACTGAGACTTTCTGCGATGCTTCCTTCCCAAACAACCTTGCTTGCGAAAGTTGGGCATTTTTTGAATAATCTTACTTTCTGTATTCTGAAAGCAAATATTCGGTAAACAAGAAGACAGTGAAGACCAAATACCAAAGACCAAAGTCGGGTAGGCGTGTCACCGGAAGTGACGTGCACTTGATAGAAGCTATGTGGATAAGCTGCTTCCAACATACATCGCTGGATATCAGCAAAGCATGCTGGCAACAGCTTATCCACGCAACTTCTATCAAGTGCACGTCACTTCCGGTGACACGCCTACCCCAACTTTCGGATATCGACTGTAAATTAGATCGGAATCCTGTGAAGTTATTTCGAAATGTAATTACAGTCAATATAACCTCCCCTTCAAAAAGCGAGAAAGTGTCGGGTGCAGACCATACACCACAAGTGACGACGGCCTCCACAAAATGCAAATGTTTTCTGCCAATGAAATGATTAGCCTGTTGCAGTTGTATTCTATCAGTTGTCACTAATTACAACTATCATTTACCAAAAATCAGCTATCACTATGAACCACTACTAACCAGATTTACTTGGAGGCCGTCGTCAGTTGTGTCTGCACCGCACAATTTCTGGCTTTTTGAAGGGGAGGGTATATCGGCTGAGTGGAAATTTCACAGAAGCTGAAAAGCCGCCCCGCACTACGCAGAAATGGAACGTTTCCCTCTCAAGAGGCTGTACCAAACCCCAAACGATTCCGAATTCAGTCCGAGTATCAGAGCTGAATTGGATTTCTCCCTGACCAATGTGATCAGTAAGATGGCTCACAATTAGACTAGATCAAATCGTGTTCCTTGGGGTATAATCATTACTTTCCAACATTTCCCTGCTGTGTGGTTTGAATCCACAATATCATAAAGAAATAGCGCAGTATAAGAACCGCAAAGACGCGAGGGCTGGAAAATTCTGGTTGCATCGACTAAACCTTTTCGTAGCTGCGCTCTTCATCACGATCGCAGCAAACGAGGCGGTGTTTGGTACCTATCACTGGTACAATTATTGACGGGAAATGAACATTATGTCCACAGATGTACATGTACATATAAGCAAAAAACGAATGTATAGCACATTGATTATCGGTGCATTTCACGCCGACCATTCCGTTAAAGCAGCGTACCTATCCGATTTGCAGGAGCCTTCTCTTCATCCTCATAAAATCACGGCTTCTTAGGGCAGACTGAAGCTGTCGCGCTCGGCCAATTTCAAAATTTTTACAAACTGTTGCCCAGAGGTTCTCGATACGACCTATCCACACCATCATGACTGTTTCTGCATCCTGGTCCTATATAGACGGCCCACTCCAAATTCACCTCCGAAGCATTACATTTCCTTCGAAACTGCCTAGCGGGAGGAATATGCATATCGCTGACAACTCTATTTCCGACAAATGCGCCCTCAACTTCTACCAATATGACTCTCTCCCCTCAAATGCGACCCCTCGCTTTGATTTTTTTTACTGATTTCACAATCTTCAAATAATACTCCTTCCAAAACGCAGGCATGGCAAATACGACACCGCTCGGATTTCCTGACGTCATGGTCAACCTTAGGCCGATGTCAGACTTTGCGAATCGCGCGATTCGCTAGCGTCCGCGGTCGCGTTGCGGTACCAGCCAATTGAGTGATTCACTGGCCGCGACGCGACCGCAGACGCTAGCGAATCGCGCGATTCGCAAAGTCTGACATCGGTAGGCCCATCAAATTATTGCTGCTGAAAGGACAGGGTGGTTGTTGAACTAGCTTGTGCTTATTTACTCGGACGTTTCCAGTGACTTTTCATGCAGTAACAATTCTTTTAGGGTTCTGTTGTATTCGGAGCGATCCTTGGCAACGATAGGCAGATCTATCGCTTCCACACATTTATCCACAGCCAGTGACCATTCAGCAGAATCATTTCGAGGCGTTTCATATCGAAAGCGCACCTGAAAATCGCGATACATATTACTAATATCAATTAAGTGGTGGAAACAAAATACTTCTCAGAACCAACATCGACACCAGCTTGAGTGAGATCTCTAATTCGGTCGTACAGAAACTTGTTGGGAGCTGGAGAACCGTTCACTCTTACCCATCTGAACAGTGCATAACTGAGGGCTGAATACATTTACGACTAAAGGAAAGCATTCGACTACATAATCTTACCCTGTTTGCCAATTTGACATGAACACTTGTGAATCAGTGACTACAACAACCCGCGACAATCGATTATCAACAGCCTAGAAACAGCTTCCGAATAATGTCATAACAATTCGAAATTTATGACATAACGGTATCCGCGAATCCGCAGGGAGGATCAATGAAGGAAAACGCCCTAAAATTTCCGGTCTAATAACGATACAATTCTTTTGACCCTGAATACCAAGCAGTCACTCCGATCTCCCTCAAGCAATTAACCCCTGGACTACTGGTGGAACACATGTGTCCACTTGGTAGTCAAAGACACTACCACAGTTTCAGGAGATATTGAGGCAGGAGCGCTCATTTGATAGCTTAAATTGTGCACATATAGAAGCTTTCTAATTCTTACTATGACAGTGAATCGTCAGAAGCTAAAGCGAGTCATCCTGCATAAGTTAATCTTTGACTACTGGTGGTACACATGTGTCCCACTCCCGTAGTCAAAGTAGTCAAAGTCACTACCACATTTTTGGCACTTATTGAGATCGGAGGGCCCGCTTTGGCGGAACGTGCACATGTAGAAAATTTACATATGCTCCTATCCCAAATCATCCTAACCCTGGATAAGGTAATAAGCTGGTCTTATCGCAGGTCACGGCCGAAAGGGTTATTTTGTGAGCCTCACACTCTTTATAGTTGTTGTGATGGTTTTAGTGTTTCCCTCAATTATTGTATCACGTACAACAAAAGCAAATCAATGAGGGTTGGGGGCATTTTGTCGTTCGCCAGCATTTAGTCAGTGGACGACGCAGCGTACCACGACTGTGTTGGAGATTCCGTCCTCCAGGGATCTGTCAGTTCGGATGGTGCGAAAGTGGTAGTGAAAGACTCCTATGATGGCCTAGATTTGGATTCAAAAACCCACGAAAATCCTTTGCAGCAGAAGCAGCCGGTGAACGCAGCTTGTAGCGCGGAGCAGCACTCCTACCAAGTGAGGCTTGCAATTCTTTCCAAGTGCGTTCCCAACCGGACATTAGCTTATTCCAGGAATGCAATGTGGAAAATGTGTATTTGGTAAATGGTAATTTAACTGCCAGTCTATTTTTTCGAAAATGGTCATTCGAGCGGAGATGGTGTTGTGACAGAAGGGGCCACTACCGCGCGTATGGTCCGGATCAAATTCTCACCATGCAAACCGCAGCGTTACGTCAGCCAAAATTCTCGTGGTAGTGATAGTCAATGCTAAGAGCGACAGATACTACACAGAACACATCGACACCTTGCTTTCAAAAAAGTCGTAGTCTAAGGGTTAAGGCATTTCATTGAATCAAGGTAGAGGTGGTCAGTCGCTGCAGGGATACGACACAAAAACCATGAGAAACAGAACGACCCTCAGGAATGAAACCCGTTCTGTGAGCCCTCTCTGCGTCTATGCGCCTCTCACTGGTTTCTGCCCTCTTCAACGTTAACGCTCACCAAGGCATACATAGTAAAAGAAAATAACCCACCCTATAGAAAAAACATAACTAGCCAAACGAAAAGGAGCAGTCTCCAACAGACCAAGTAAAATTATGCAAGAAAATAGCAAGGAAGCTCACCACATGCTTCCGTAAGAACAAATATAAAACATGTCACGAGTATGAAACATGATAGAGAAGCGGTTAACCTCAAGTAACTATGAAATTAGTCAGATAATACTGTAGCTACTTTGCGCTTGAACCCATGCAGGAGATAAGGGGGCTACCCCATTTTTAGTTAGACAATATTTTTAGTTACCTTTTTGTTAGGACTGGCAGCCTGAAATGTGAAAATTTCGCCACTAATACTCGTTCTAGACCCAGATAAATTACTTTTGCGTGGCCCCCTCTGGTTCAATTATGTGCCGTCTTGTAATCCTCAGAGGAACGAAATCGTTCCGATACAAGAGAAGCTCGTAAACCATACATACACTGCGCCGTGAATGAAATGTAGAGAATCCAAGTAAATATAACGCTGTTGGTACCCTAGAGTAAAGAAACTCCACGATAAAGTCGGTTAAGGACTGGAGAAGGGAAAATATACAAGAGACCTCCGACCTTATCACGGGATCCTTATTTATTTATTTATTTGTTTATTTATTATTTATTTATTTACATGCACGACCGGTTTTTCAAGAGGTCTATTCGACACCATCCATTATTCGATGCAGCGTGCATTCTCTCGTTCTCAAAGCCTGCGCTGTTATTGAAAGTTTTCTCTTGAATTTTTGCAGAGCATTCAAGAAGAGCGAGGCGTGATGTTATCATTTTTTGCTTTTGCTTCAAAAAACACCTATTGAAACATCGACGAATTTATTAGAGAAAGCAATGAAACAACCGCTTTTTATCATCCAACGAAAATGCAGATGTCGGAAAGCTCAAATCCTATGAATTCCGAAATTTGCTTAATTTTTACAATTAGCTTGTGAGAAGAGGTTTTTGTGTTCTGCTAATATGAGCCGCAGTAGGCTCCCTTTGTCGTCATTTAGCACGGAAATCGTGACCCCAGATGACGCACTGCATACATAGCTCACGCGTCACGCGCAACATAGATGCATGGCGTCATCGCAACCTTCACACAGATACACGTACACTGCGTCCCATAATTATACGTCCACCTAAGAATTTCCCAAAATCTCACAAATATAGATGTTTTGAAAAAAGTCTCCAATGTGACAATGTATCGCATATAAATACGCAATTGCCTATGAACATCAATTTTCTATTTGAGATCACAGGAATTTTTTTCAATAATTTTTGTGTAAAAGGCCACTCAGCCGACGTCCCAAAATTATACGTCCACCTCACGTTTATCGATTACTTTTCACTTCTGTTCCACGAAACTTTTTCATTGTGGTAACACTTCACTTCTTGGGAACAGCATAATAAAGACTGCTGTTGGATTTTGAGAAAGGGAAAATGTCGCAAAAACTGTTGAACAACGCAATCGCACCAGATTTGGACCAAATTCACGCCAAGCTCAAGAATTTTCTTCAGGGTTTCACATGATATGGAGTTTAGAAGAGCTCTAAAAGTCTCTCATTACTTTTCGATGGAAACAAAGGCCGTGTTCACAAAAGAAACATCCACTTTCATCCAACGGTGCTCTGTCATCGAATCTTCTTGAGAACTTTATGCCTCAACAGACTTTTGTTTCATGCATGTAAAGGAATCCCAAGATCATTCTTGATTGGAAAATGTGAAAGACGTTCATTTGTGGCAAGGAATCGTGGCGAAAACTGGGCTGATTTTTGCATGAAGGTGCAGCCGAGCCGACTGAAGTAAGGTTCGCTTCTGCCCGATATGTTTTGGCATTTGTTTGTTTTCTTCTCACGTTTACCTTTCCCTTAATGGCTTTTTTCTTAGTGAAGCACTACTAAAAGAAAGAAAATGTTGAAAAGAAAGACAGACAAACACTCATGCATAGCAAGGAAAAAGGGACCCTGCTCCAGTCGGCTCGGCTGCACCTTCATGCAAAAATCAGCCCAGTTTTCGCCACGATTCCTTGCCACAAATGAACGTCTTTCACATTTCCAATCAAGAATGATCTTGGGATTCCTTTACATGCATGAAACAAAAGTCCGTTGAGGCATAAAGTTCTCAAGAAGATTCGATGACAGAGCACCGTTGGATGAAAGTGGATGTTTTTCTGTAACACGGCCTTTGTTTCATCGAAAAGTAATGAGAGACTTTTAGAGCTCTTCTAAACTCCATATCATGTGAAACCCCTGAAAAAATTCTTGAGCTTGGCGTGAATTTGGTCCAAATCTGGTGCGATTGCGTTGTTCAACAGTTTTTGCGACAACCTCCCTTTCTCAAAATCCAACAGCAGTTTTTATTATGCTGTTCCCTTAAGAAGTGAAGTGTTACCACAATGAAAAAGTTTCGTGGAACAGAAGTGAAAAGTAATCGATAAACGTGAGGTGGACGTATAATTTTGGGACGTCGGCTGAGTGGCCTTTTACACAAAAATTATTGGAAAAATTCCTGTGATCTCAAATAGAAAATTGATGTTCATAGGCAATTCAGTATTTATATTAGGTTGGTCCATAAGTCTTGCAACAAATTACATTTAATGCTAGAAAATTTTTGTGAGAACTCCGAAAATCCGCAACATGTTTGCTGACGTAGCATCCACCTTTGCAATTTCAGCCAACCGTCCAGCTCGTTGTCTCGCTACTTGTTATGGATATTACACCGATTTCGCGAAAGGTCTTCGTGCCCTTAATTTTTACGAGTACTGCTTGGAATGTTCCGCAAGTCATGCTACACCAAGGATTAGCCAGAAGATGGGCGAGGGCACGCTCTCTCAATTCACGGTGCACGGCGCTTCACTCTGCTCAGCGTTGACTTTTTTATTTGAAGATGATCCACACTCCAACCACCCCGTGACTGACAATCACGATGCTCTATCTGACGCTGTTGAAAAGGGATCTGGATAGAGTATCGATCATTTGCTAGAGCAATTCCGATGCGACAAGGAGACAGCACTGTGGCATCTCCAAAGACTTGTGAAGATCCGAAAATATAGAGTTTGGACCCACATGCCTTGAGCCCGAATCAGCTCCAAACACGATCTGGCATCATCATGTTCAAGTCGGGTTACTATGGACTCTTCGATAGCTCATCCACCACATTTGTCGATGATGCAGTCTAGCTCAAACGCTTCGGGAGTTCTTACTGCTCAAGTTCAACCTCGTCCAAGTAGGGCCTTCTCGGATTTTTGGTGGAACACGAGAGGAGTTAAGCTCTGGAAACCCCTACGTGTAGATGTCGCAGTCAACGCGGAAGTCAACCGTCCACAGCTCGAATGCAAAGAAAAGCAAGGCAAAGTTTGCTTTTTTATGACACCGTTGAACCACCTCTTGCTAAGAAAATCCAGGAAAATTTTAGGACTCTCGGACGGAGAGTTCTTTATCCACCTTATAGCCTGACCTCGAGCCAAAGGACCACCTGCTTCCCTCTCCAG